AAATAAAAAAAAATAAAAATCAAAAGAAAAAAAAGCAGTAATATAGTAATCAATCAACATGATGTGTTAAAGATCTCTGGGCCTTTTTTTTCAAGGAACGCGAAAAAACTGACTATTGACTCTTCATCAACGACCACTGTCTAAACTCGGGCTTTTCAGTTCTGTAGCCCAAAAGATTGACCTCTTCGTCATTTCCAATAAATTTAGAAGAAATCTAAAGAGTTACAGACACTTGTATCAGACAAACACACTATATTATACAGAAAGAGAAGTGTTAATACGAAGCTTTATAAAATATTGATGTAAAATGCAACAAATACACAAGGAAAAACTGCATTCAATAAAAGACTCCTTATCGATCTTTGAAAAATTCATTGCAAATCTATTCATTTGAAATTAAGTCTAAAAGAAACTTATGCTTATTAAAACTCAATGCTTGAGTGATTCTTCGAACAGAGGATGATACCACAAAGTGCAATAAAAGAATGCAAAAATAATTGATTGTTGGTTAATAAATGTGCCGTTATGCTAGACCCCATGTTTATTGCACTCATTCCATAGTTTAGTGATAGATATATGAAAGACCACTTGTCATCATCAAATCCCAATAGATCTCCAAATGGCCCTATAATTTACAAAAAAAAAAAAGCCAATTGAACCCCTCAAACCACACACTTTCGTGATCATATAAAGTCTATTAAGCACATACTCATTTGAGTTCTCTAGTCTGGATATAACAGAAATCATCAATATAACACTCACAAAAACAACACCATGCAACTCAAATATTAATATGAACAATATTAATAGTTTGATCAGTTTGATTGGTGCCTTAGTGCATCTTGCTATGTGAAGTCCACATGGAAAACAGAAGCCCTAAAAATCATATCTTAAAAAGCATTGCAAATTAGTCAAAATAAAGAGGTATAACTATGTCATGTTGGTGCGAGCCTTCAGAGAACCTTCAGAGAGCCTAAGAATCATATCTTAAAAAACATAACAAAATCACATTAAGGAACAATAACAAAGCTACTAACACATATAAGAACATAATTTCAGCCTATAGCTATGTCATGTTGGTGCGAGCCTTCAGAGAACTATTAAAAACATAAAAAATAAAAAAAGATTATTACCTCGATTTTCTGGCTGCCCAGAATAGCCTCAGACTGAATTAAATGACCGCTAGCCATCAAAGTATGATCCCCTTCAGTCTCCAAAACTGCATAGCTCATGTGATTAATCACCAGAGTTGCTAAATCCTATGGGTAAACACTTCACATTAATTAGCATCTTTTAAGATACATAAACAAATCAATATTTTTTCCGAATCAATAACAAAAGCACAAACAGAAGCTCGTAAACCGGCCGAATCCCACCTCATCAAAGTCTACCCTGTACTCAACAGCAATCTCCAAATCAATTAAGACACTGATGCATCAGCAGCAAGAATCAAATCCTGACCAACATCGACAAATTCCAACAATGACACAACATCTACAGACCCACTGAACCCTAATCTCCATAGCATAACCAAAAAAATATAAAATAAAAAAATCGAACAATAATAATGAATCGAACAATAATCTTGACCAAATAAATAAAATGTAACAAAACTTTCTCAAATTCTGAATTAAGGTGACCTGAAATGTGATAGAGGCAATGAGAGATTTTCCAGTTTCACCATGAAACATCGAGTCATCTTTTTTACGCCGATTCTCTTCAGCCAATTTATGCCTAAATCCATCCTTATTTGCATCCTGCACTAACAATATCGACGTTGTTTTTTCACCATATCCACAAGAATCACAGAAACACGCATAAATCACAGTTAAAATGCGTAAAAATTAGGGCGTATGAAAAGAAAGAACGAATTTTTACCTACGATAGAACTTTTCTTGCGCCGCTGCCGGCACGAACCCGTTTTCCCCCTCATCTTGTGGGGGCGCCACCCCCATCTCCTCCCCCATGAACACCATGTTTACCCTCTGCTCCGCGTGGATCGACCTCCCAATCATTGGTGCATCCCGCGCGTAACAGCCTCCAAGATGGAGCTTCGGCCGTAGTGAGTCGCGAATCCAGCCACCGCTTTATCACGAAACTCCAGCCCTTAGTACTCTCCAGAAACCTTCCAGGACCAATTTGCAGATAAAAAAACATAAGTTATTTCTCAGCCCAATTAAAAAATGGAGGCAAGAATCAAAATTCATTAATTACACCAACCAAATGGCAATTGCAATTTTCACATCAAAATAAAAATTTTTATTAAAAAAACAATAAATTCACCCTGACAAACCCGCGATACATCTATCATCTGTCGGAAGTCTTTAAAGTTTGACCCTCCAGTTGCTACCTAAGTCCACCATGACGATCATACTCCGGTACTCCTCCGACGTCTTCACCTACTTCATCCCCAGCGCCGCCGTCACGACCTCAGCTCATCCGCCGTGATGAAGCCTCCCTGTCCCGATTGAAAAGCCTAAACACCTCCCGCATGTCCTCTTCACCAACCCCTCGTCGCCTCCGCCATCACCACCACCACATACAGGGCACCGAACTCCTCGGCGTCCAACTGGGCATCCCCGTCGGCATCAACCTTTCCAACCACCAGTCGTAGATTCTCCTCCAGCGCGCAAATCCCGAGATTCTCTAGCGAATCGGTGAGATCCTCCCAGCTGGTGTTGTCGTCGCCGGTCATCGAGCGTGGCGAATAATCGATGGAGCTCCGCCGTTCCCATCTCCTCTCGTGGTACCTAATTGGAGGATTGTTTTGGAGTTGATTTTGATCGGTCCATCTAAGTTTTTACATCAATAATTTTGAGAGAGATTCGAGAATTATTTTGGGAGAGATGGGGTAAATTTGTTTGGATTTCATTTTGGTCGGTCCATTTAATTTGGGGAGCGATGCCGATTTTTTCCTTTTATAAAAAGAGTTGCCGAGAATTATTTTGGGAGAGATAAGGAGAATTTGTCAGGTTGTCCATTTAAGTTCCCATCAATAATTTGGATTGATTTTCAATAATATGACATATACCAAAATTAAAATGCTTTCTTTAAATATTAGAATTTAAAATTTTGAATGACAAATATGTTGAGCGGGATTTCTAAATTTTTTTAAAAAATTACTTAGTTTAGTAGTTTGAAACTTTTAAACGGGATTTCTACTTTTATTTTAGATAAATATCAAAAATTTTTATATTTATATAGATATGTACAATAAAAATCACTCCTTTTTTAGTTTAGATTTATAAGATGCATTTCCAAAAAAAAACAACTCTTATCCTAATGCAATCTGTACTCACCTAACCACAAAAAAATCTGGCGTTAATAAATAAATATTATTCACATGTGACAACTCGAGTCACAGCCGACGCTACCCCGTCTTCATATGACTCGTATGTGACTCAGCCAACCAATAATATCAACATCAACGCTCCTAATCCCCAGCTGTTCACTCGCTTACTTCCCTATAAATACCCACAATTCTCACCTTTTACCTCACTACATTTTCTCTCATTGCGTATTTTCTTTGTTGTGTCTAAGAACCAATATTATTAGTGTCTGTATTTTCTTTAAAGAAAAATAAAGAAAAGAGCGACAAAATTCTAAAGAGTGAAATTAAAATGGAGAAATCAGTGAAGGCTCTGGGTTGGGGTGCCACGGACTCGTCGGGCATTCTGTCTCCTCTGGAGTTCAGCCGGCGGTCGACCGGCAGCCGCGACGTCCAATTCAAGGTCCTCTACTGCGGCGTTTGCCACTC